AACAACGCCAATCCCAAGTGGGTTGTTGGTCAGATTTGGCAAACACAGTCAAAAGCAAGCATTATTATGTGGGTTTCAATGCTAGGCCCTCCCAGTATCAAACTTTGTCCCCATTGCATAACTTTCATTTTTTCTTCTTAAGAAAACCTTTGTTTGCAAAATTATGTAGAAACGATATTACAAGTTTACAACGCTGTTCAAGTAAATCGCCAATAATTATAAATTTTCTTATTAGGATCGTCTTAAAATTTGAGATAGAATTTGACAAAAAAAAAAAAAAAAAAAAATGGTGGAAGGTGATTTGATATGCGTAGGATTTAGTAGGTGTGAAAAAGTTGGATGTCTCATCGAAAAAATACACGATTCTAGAACGATAAAGATTGCCGACTAATCACTCTTTCTCTCTACCATCTCCCAAATCCAAGCCCTTCCTTTGTATCCAAAAACATGATTATCACATCCAGTCCAGTCAAATCTAATCCTCCCTACCAATACATGCATTTATATTTGCTTCCAAATTCAACTCCTTCATTGTTTGAACTACTCAAAACCATGCACATAGACAACATTAGCTTAATGATATAATCCATTTTTCCTACTTACCCATTATTCAAATTAATTATGTTATGTTATTTATCCCCCAATGATTGCATTCACATTAACTTTATAATATATTTGAATTATTTCACATATTATCGATAATTATTGTATTTCCACATGGCCATACCCAGTATTCAAAGGGGTATCAAGAATATACTTCATAATTAAATGTATCATGCCTTACTAGTTTTAATTATTGGATATGATTAACACAAGTTAGTTATAAAGATCTTAGAATATCTCTGTGAATTTTATTGTATCTTCAACAATATAACAAACTGTTTATTTATTATAAATTATCAAGATTGGTTAAGATACATTAAATAATTACACCACAAAATGATTGTAGGAATTGTTTTTTTTATTCAAATTATATTATTACGTTACTAATGTCATGGCCGTTTCTCTTAAGATATATATATATATTAGGAAATTATAAGAATGGGTGTAAAAAGGAATTAAATGGCTGACGTATATGTCATGTGCCTGTACTAAATATAGGCGCCTACCCACCACCATATTATTTTTATTTCAACTTTCTAACGTCAAATTAAGGGGAGGGGCCACAAATATATATTCTTTTAATATATATATATATATATATATTGGGTATACATATATTTATATATAGCCATATAATTATTTTGAATTATTTCACTATTTTATTTATGGTTTTGAAACCTGGTTTCAATGTAAGCCTTTCATATTTTTATTTATTTATTATGAATCAAAATTTAAAATCATGTATTACTTTAATATTCTTAAAATACTTAAACTTAGTCAACTTGCAACGACCATTCAAGTTAGGGTTTGAAATAAAAATATTATGTGAAATGATTATATTTGGAATACGAATATAATAGGTGGTTAGTTTATTTTAAAAAGATACGGAAATATTTATAACCAAAGTTTTGCAGTTTGAGTTAGGTGGTGGGGACAATGAAGTTAAAAACATCACATGAAGAAGAACCAAAAACAAGAGAATTTTGGTCGATCTTTTTGGGTGTTGGGGTTTGACTAAAGCCGTTTGTGCCTCAAAACTTGCCCGGTTTCGGTTGGGCATTTATTTATTTATTTATTTTTATTTTGTTTTGTTTTGTTTTTAATACTTTTATTAATTAATTTAATACCTAAGTTCAACGAGAACTCACTGATTTCCGCGTAATGGTTCCTCACTACAATCCCTTCATTTATTTTATTTATTTGATATTTCAGTATCAATAATCATGTAAATAAGCTTTAATTTGATTTTGGGCGGTGCAAAAGGCAAGATATAATCTTTTATTTCATTTTCTATTTCAAGAATCTCAATTAAAGAAGCCTTCGTATTTTTTAATTAAAATAAGTTTGATTGAGAGAGGTAATTAATGAAGGATGTTGGTAAACACAGCAATTAGCTAATCAACGAGGCTTTTCGCACAGAGACATCGAAGTAATATAATCAAAGGACATGAAAACCTCGATTGAAAGACATGTTTTGGGACAAGCTCTTGCACCATTTCTATCACCCATTACACCCATATTCAACCATGATGTCAACTTAACAAAATCATTTCGGACATTGACAAGAAAGCCATAAATATTATTTTATCCTAATATCAATATTTAAATAATCGAGGTCCCGTTTGATAATGATCTTTTTTTTTTTTTTTTTTTTTTAGGTTTGTTGTTTATTCTATTTTCTACCTGCTTTGAAAAAATATATATATATAATTATGATGTATACCCTACATTTAATAATAATAATAATAATGGAAGAAAAACATATCATATCATTTTTGTTTAACGTGGGATTGGTAATTAATCAACAAGATAAGCTAATAATGGAGAATAATTGAAACTAGAAGATGAGGTTTGTTGCATGATTATTAGTATTATTAGCAAATCTGAAGTAACTAACTCTTTGATCTCTCTCAAACTAAAACTAAGATACATGATGGTATGGATGTGATGTGGGTTTCACGTGAAGGAGTTATGTGTAGCACATGCATGGTAAAAAGGGAACATAAAACATCTGCATGCAAATATAATATATATAGATATAGATGCATGCTATAAATACATGATGTTATTATAAAGGGATATTAGGATTATATATAATTTTTGTTAAAAGAGTGTTGATAAGGAGCAAGTTGTAGTGGGTGTTGCTCTGGTGATGCCTATGCAGCATGAGACAAGGAGGCCCAAAGGAACATGACTCGCCCTTCTTACACCTCCATTAATATCTTCTCCTCCTACACTTGTAATCTTTATAATGGACTTTGTCTCCATTGATTCTCGTGTTTTGAATGATTGGGATGAGAGGATCAGAGGATCACAGCCTTTGTCTTCTCATTTATGGCTAGCTACCTTGCCCACCAAGCAAACCCTACGTCTTTTATTTTTACCCTATTCATTTTCCTTGTGTATGTACATGTATACTCTTTTTTATTATTCATGTGATATAAAGCTTAATGAATGTGTGTAATAGATTGTGGTAGTAAAAAGCTGAAAGACAAAGGGGTTGTGGCATGAGGATCTCAGATCTTGCTTTTCAAAGTTTTGCGATCTATTTGCAGGATATGTTCCTTGACTATCATCTCGCTGTCCTTAACTTTCTTTGACTTTTTTTTTTTTTGACTTTTATTCATGCCGCCTCTGTTTACTGCCACCCTTCATTATATGATATCTATTATTCTCCCTTGTTTATGCTTTGTATTCATGGTAGTCAGTTGCCCACGGCCCACGAATGTAGTTGAGATAATTCGTGCTTATATTTTTACAATAGAGAAAACCGAGGGGTTTGTATTAATAGAAAGTGATAAAGACATGAGAGGAAATGGGAGGGGAAGCATATGCAGAATGTGGAATGTGTCGAAGGGGCATATAACCCCATTGGAGGATGGGGCTAGGGACCTTGAATTCAAATCAAAACCATACCTTTCTTTAATACATATAATATTACATGTCTGTCACCAACATTTTGGCTTTTTGTTGTTTGGGTCTTAAAGTGGGTGAGTTATCCCTAATATCCCGCTTCATTTCCCCCTCTTTTTTTAAAACTTTCCCAAAAAACCCAACAACATAGCTACACACTCGTGCCTTTTCTGTCACCCACTCCCTCGTCTTTTCATTTTATTTTGATTTAATCACTTGCTTTTCTTGTTTGCTAAAGGGTTTACGGACTTTAATTCTTTCAATTAATTTAACAAAATTATTGTCCTTGCACAGAGTAGGCCCATAATTAGGATTTAGGAGGGCCTCCAAAACCCTTTGGGCTTTCACCTACTTGACCAGCTTTATTTAGGGTAAACGTGGCCCATGGGCTGTAAAGCCCAAGTCTACGCCTCGGATGGAATCTTAGAATCTATCATATATAAGAGGCCCATACTTTTGAATTATGATTATGTATTTTTTATATGAGGTAATTTCATTTTCAAGCTTTAATCTTCATTAAACTATACAACATGAATTAGTTATTAAATTCCTTTTTCAGGATTGAGAGGGGAACAATTTCATTTCTTACTAAACAGTTGTAGTGGTAAGCTTTAAATATTATAGCCTCCCATAAGTTTGCCATACATGATCAGATCTCTTCTTAGTAGACGTGTTTTAAAAATGTGAGACTGACGGCAATATGTAATGGGCCAAAGTGGATAATATCTACTAGCGGTGGGCTCGAGCTATTACAAATGGTATCAGAGCCAGACACTGGACGGTGTGCCAGTGAGGATGCTGGGCCTCCAAGGGGGTGAATTGTGACATCCCACCTCAATCGAAGAAAGAAACAAAGTCTTCCTTATAAAGATGTGGAATCCTCTCTCTAACCGGGGAGACTGACAGTAACACGTAAGAGGCCAAAACAAATAATATCTACTAGTGGTGGATTTGAACGATTATGGGACGAATGTGATGAGAAGGTAGTGGATGTTGTATTGTGTGTAATAATGGGGGACAAGGATGGTCCAAGATGAGAAGAAAGAGGGAGTAATAAGACTGTTGAAGGGTACAGCTGATGTCTACTCCAAACCAATTATAAAGTGAAACAGGAATCTGATTCTGACACATGATTACAATGCAGGTTCTAAGAACAAGAGTTACACATTCATATTTTTGGTTGGAATTACATGGGATGGATGTTTATGTGGGAAACAAATTCTGTGGACACATGAAGAAAAACGGTGAGAGAAAGCAGCCATTTTTATTTTTATGGATGCTTTAATTGCTACACACCAAAGCAGTCACAGCCAAACTGTCCCCATAAATAACAACCTTCGTCTTCCTTCTACTTCTTCCATCTCACTTTTCACTTCCATCCCTTTCAGCCCTTTTTATTTTATTTTTTTTTAATTAAACTTGAAACGAACGAATTACTTGAATGAGATTCGATTAAAGGGAAAAGAAAAGAAAAGAAAAGAAAAGAAAAGAAAACCCAGTTTCTAAATTTCCAAAATACAAATTTACAAACCCTGTTGTAATTAAACATAGGTTGATGTCATTGGAGGCAATAGGGTGTAGACTCGGGAAAGACATGATTATGATTATGATTATGAGCAAAACTTTGGTGGGAAGCTTCAAAATCTGAGGAAACCAAGGGAGGATAAACCAAAGAGCTACTTCCCATCCCATATAAACCCTCCAACCCACTTTCCAAATTATGCAATGAATCTCCAAATTCAGTTCCATGGAACATTCCTGCTGTTGGATCCTCCACCTTATTGCTCATTCCATATTGCACGTCTCCTGAAAACTGACCAAAATTTGAACTTTCAAACACTAATGAAGGGTGTTGATGAGCCTCGTCCACTGGGTTCAATTCAAATGGATGATCACAACAAACCAACCTTCTTCCTCCCATTTTAATGATCAACTCCCTAACATCTTGCCCGCTTGTGTTGGGATTTGGATAATATGGGGCTTCATAATCATGATTCAGATTCATGGACACTGCAGCAGGGTGAATGATGACATTATTCATATTCTTATCAAAATCTTGCTTTAGGGTATGAATTCTGCGAGCCATAGCTTGCTGCTCACGTTGCTGCTTTCCCAGAAGCTTTTTCTTTAATCTTGTGTTCCAGTAGTTCTTTATGTCGTTATCCGTTCTTCCTGGTAACTGAGCTGCAATTATCGACCATCTACCGAAACAAAAAATTCGGCTCAAATTGATTCATTAAATAATTAGACACGTTGAAGAAAAGTGATCAAAAATAATTTTACCTGCTTCCTATGGTTATGTAGAGGCTGCAAATGATGTTATCCTCTTCCTCTGAGAACCCTCCATGTTTGATGTTGGGGCGGAGATAATTCAGCCATCTCAAGCGGCAACTTTTCCCGCATCGCTTAAGACCTAACAATTTTTTGTTGATGAATAATTTGATCACTTTAAAACTAGGGATGAACAAGAGGAATAAATCATTTAATTTGTAGTACCTATTTTGCGAGGCAAGGCTATCCAGTTGCCGCCGGTGCCGAACTGTTCAATATAAGCTTTGAGTCTGGCATCCTCCTCAGGCGACCAAGGTCCCTTTTTGACGTTGGCTTTGTCACAACAAGGAGCTCTTCCCATGTATTGAAGTTTTTGAGGTATCTGTTTGTGATATCAAGATAATGGTGAGGTTTATATATACCGAGAAAAAAGAAGAAGGAAAGAGAGAGAGAGTAGTAGCTGGAGGAGAAGAGAATGCATGGAAGAAGGAGTCGCAGGATTTCAAAACAGGGTTTTAGAAAAAGATCCCAACTTTATGTTTTAAAAGGTGAAAGAAATTGAAATTTGGCACCATAGAAGACTTAGAAAACCGTTCTTTTTTGTGCTTCACCTTTTCCCACAATCATTTATTGAATTATGTTGTTTACACCAAAAAAAAAAAAAAAAAAAACCCATTAGAATTAGAGAGAAGGGAAAGTGATTTGAAGGGTTCTCACACGAGTTTGAGGAAGAGGAAAGAATGGTTCCAAAGTAACAAAAGTATGAAGAATATTATGATATCATATGGGTGTTACCCTCTATGCTAATCAGAAAAAGTTGGTTTGAATCGGTCAGGGAAAGTTGTTGTCTTTTTATTTATTTTTTATTTGTAAGGAAAAAAGTTGATATGACGGTGGATAGCATTGGGTGGAAGAGCAGGGCTTTTATAGTACAGAAGAGATTTGGTGTTGCTGTGTTTCTGCAGCATACTGATATGAACAATGTTATAATACTTCTACTTCTTCTTGTCATCTCTTCATTTAATTCTTCTAACTTATCATCTTCATCATCCAAATTTAAATCAACAAATTTAGTGAAGTCAAATCAATATGCATAAGGCGGTTTCAGAGTAGGAGACTGACAGGATATATTCTAAACCAAAAATAGGTCTCTGCCATGATTTTGGTCTCATTTTTACACCAAGAAAGTAGATTATACAACCATGAAAAATGAAAGAATATTATTGAAATGAAAGGATACAAGCAAAAGAAACACGAATTGTATATATGGAAATAAAAAGGGTAATTAATAAGTGAAGAAAAGAAAGACAGACATATATAGATGTGTGAATAAATGGGTAAATTTTGGTTAAGGTTGGTGAGCGAATGTGAAGAAATAACAATAATAATAATGAGTGATGAAATGGAAAGGGTTGGAATTAAAGGAAGGATAATAAAATAAGTTGAAGACAAAAGAAAAAAGTTAGAAATGATGGGAACAATAATGGGAGTGGCTTTGTTGAGGTTAGCTAAGAAGTGAAAGAAAGAAGGATTTAATGGGTAATGTGGATACCCAATAGCCAATGGGACATACCATTTTGGGACCCAAAAACAAAAAGGGCCTACGAATCTTTGTTTGGTTGTGCATTTTTCCTTCTTTTTAATGACGTTTAAGTGAATGTGAATATCTGAAGTTTAAACGGGGAGACGTGTATGATCATATATTTGGGAAAAGATGAACAGAAAGTGCAGGAAAATTCAGAACTTCTAGAAACATATTAATAAGCAAATACGACATTGGGTCGAATTTGAAAATGATATCATGCTTAGCTAACAATGGAATCAGTCTTCCAGATTGGCTAAACCCAAACAAAGTCTTAAAGTACAGAGCTTAAAATATATAATCAACTTGTTGTTGCTCAATAAAGCTAAAGCTAGAGTGTCAGGTATGAGGTTTCCTCTCGAACCATCTATTTTAGATCCAGGTGTCCTTTTGAGTTAAAAAGGAAAATGACCCATTATTTCTTTTAAAAGGAGAGGTGCAAAAGGTCAAAAAGTAATTAAAAAAAAAAAAAAAAGTTAGCAGAGAGATGAAGACAATGTTGAAGATTTCAAAGTGTGAATTAGGAGATGATGGAATGTGTGTGTGTAGCTTATTTTACTTAAAAATTTGACCCACTTTCGGACTTTTAACAACATTCACAAATTCTTTTACATTACTATTACTATTATCATGTGATCATGGTTTGGTTTCCAGCTTTCATTTCATTATCTTCTCCAACAGCTTCCTGTTTTTGTTCTTTTTAATATTGTTTTTGTTGTTTGGTCGTAAAGTCATGTGGGTTTGAAACTACGGGAAATTGTTTTTCTTCCTTTTTCAACTGTTCTAAAACAGTACCAACTCCATCTGGGAATACACCACATATAAACTTGAAGCTTCTAAATAAAATTATTGGTCGGGAGCAAGAAGCTCCTAATTTAATGGTTGAACTTCGATGGGAAACCAGCTAAAAAAACGGATTTACATCAGTAGTCTTGGCCCCCTTAAATTCATTTTTAATTCAACCATAGTTCAAAGGCAAAGACACCAACCCACCATTGCTAAACTTTAAAAAAAAAATAATAAATAAAGAGCGCAAGTTCTACATTACATATGCTTGCCAACTATGTTTCATTGACATTGTTGAAACGCTGTATAACCTTCATAGAAATTCATACGCACAAAAAAAAAAAAAAAAAAAAAAAAAAAAAAAA